CACTGACATGTGGAGCTGCTGCTCTCCTGCGCTCCAGCTCCAAGCAGAGCCCTGGTGTGAGCTTTGTCAGGAGCACAGGGGCTACGTGGGAAGTGGTGGAGCTGCAGTTCAAACTGAGTGCTGGTGTTAGTCTGCTGTGGCTAATAATAATTAAGTAAAAAGGCCCAATAATGGTTTTCAGACTTTCAGTGGTGTAAGAGTGTTTTGGTATTTAAAATGTTTGTTTGTTTTTATAGAGAAAATGCAGATCTTTGTGAAAACCTTGACAGGCAAGACCATCACCCTAGAAGTAGAGCCCAGTGACACCATTGAGAATGTCAAGGCCAAAATCCAGGACAAAGAAGGCATTCCTCCAGATCAGCAGAGGTTGATCTTTGCTGGGAAGCAGCTGGAAGACGGGCGCACCCTGTCAGACTACAACATCCAGAAAGAATCCACTCTGCACCTGGTCCTGCGCCTCCGGGGTGGTATGCAGATCTTTGTGAAAACCTTGACAGGCAAGACCATCACCCTAGAAGTAGAGCCCAGTGACACCATTGAGAATGTCAAGGCCAAAATCCAGGACAAAGAAGGCATTCCTCCAGATCAGCAGAGGTTGATCTTTGCTGGGAAGCAGCTGGAAGACGGGCGCACCCTGTCAGACTACAACATCCAGAAAGAATCCACTCTGCACCTGGTCCTGCGCCTCCGGGGTGGTATGCAGATCTTTGTGAAAACCTTGACAGGCAAGACCATCACCCTAGAAGTAGAGCCCAGTGACACCATTGAGAATGTCAAGGCCAAAATCCAGGACAAAGAAGGCATTCCTCCAGATCAGCAGAGGTTGATCTTTGCTGGGAAGCAGCTGGAAGACGGGCGCACCCTGTCAGACTACAACATCCAGAAAGAATCCACTCTGCACCTGGTCCTGCGCCTCCGGGGTGGTATGCAGATCTTTGTGAAAACCTTGACAGGCAAGACCATCACCCTAGAAGTAGAGCCCAGTGACACCATTGAGAATGTCAAGGCCAAAATCCAGGACAAAGAAGGCATTCCTCCAGATCAGCAGAGGTTGATCTTTGCTGGGAAGCAGCTGGAAGACGGGCGCACCCTGTCAGACTACAACATCCAGAAAGAATCCACTCTGCACCTGGTCCTGCGCCTCCGGGGTGGTATGCAGATCTTTGTGAAAACCTTGACAGGCAAGACCATCACCCTAGAAGTAGAGCCCAGTGACACCATTGAGAATGTCAAGGCCAAAATCCAGGACAAAGAAGGCATTCCTCCAGATCAGCAGAGGTTGATCTTTGCTGGGAAGCAGCTGGAAGACGGGCGCACCCTGTCAGACTACAACATCCAGAAAGAATCCACTCTGCACCTGGTCCTGCGCCTCCGGGGTGGTATGCAGATCTTTGTGAAAACCTTGACAGGCAAGACCATCACCCTAGAAGTAGAGCCCAGTGACACCATTGAGAATGTCAAGGCCAAAATCCAGGACAAAGAAGGCATTCCTCCAGATCAGCAGAGGTTGATCTTTGCTGGGAAGCAGCTGGAAGACGGGCGCACCCTGTCAGACTACAACATCCAGAAAGAATCCACTCTGCACCTGGTCCTGCGCCTCCGGGGTGGTATGCAGATCTTTGTGAAAACCTTGACAGGCAAGACCATCACCCTAGAAGTAGAGCCCAGTGACACCATTGAGAATGTCAAGGCCAAAATCCAGGACAAAGAAGGCATTCCTCCAGATCAGCAGAGGTTGATCTTTGCTGGGAAGCAGCTGGAAGACGGGCGCACCCTGTCAGACTACAACATCCAGAAAGAATCCACTCTGCACTTGGTCCTACGCCTCCGGGGTGGTAACTGAACTTGCTCCTACCAGCATCTGAATAAAATTTCATTTCACCTTGTTCCAATAAAATTGTTGCATTCACAAGTTCCTTGTTTGTCTTTAATGTATAGGTACACTACTTTAGTTTGATTTCATTCATTGAGCTAGGATTATTTAACTGACTCCCTTAGTATATGAGACCGTTTATTCCATTACTAGCTGGTAAGCTTGAACTGGTAAGAGTTAAAAATGACCACTAAATCTCAAGGTACTTTTGAGATGCTGAGATTTGGTAACATACTGGCTATGTCTATACTGGCATGATTTTCCACAAATACTTTAAACAGAAAAGTTTTCCGTTAAAAGCATTTGCGGAAAAGTGTCTAGATTGGCCCTGACGCTTTTCCGCAAAAGCTCTTTTTGCAGAAAAGTGTCCATGCCAATCTAGACGTGCTTTTCCGCAAAAAAGTACCGATTGCCATTTTTGAGATTGGGGCTTTTTTGCACAAAACATATGAGCTGTCCACACTGGCCCTTCTGCGTAAAAGCTTTGTGCAAAAGGACTTTTGCCCAAATGGGAGCAGCATAGTATTTCTGCAAGAAGTACTGATTTCTTACATGAGATCATCAGTGTTCTTGCAGAAATTCAAGCTGGCAGTGTAGATAGCTGGCAAGCTTTTCTGCAAAAGCAGTTGCTTTTGCAGTAAACATGTCAGTCTAAACACAGCCACTTTGTTGTGATTGAGCAGGTACATTTTAATAGTCAGACTATTAAAGGTTGCTGTTTCAATCCCCTTTTCTAATTATAAAATGTGCAGTTAAGGCTAGTTATTCTCTTTGAGGAAGCTTAATTTGAAACCTTTGTACAGGGATGTAAATTACACTGGTTCTCAGTAGGGATGTGAAATAGTTTAATAGGACAACAATATATTCACTATATTAGGATTACACATGCTGCAGGCTTGGCAGTATAAAGTTATGCTTCATACTGCAGAGCCCACAGTGAAGCCTCACTCAGGAGTGAAGCTACTAGCTCCTGCCCTCCTGGCTCCCAGGGAAACCTGCAGAGTTTAACTGATAAGCATCAACTTCTCAGTTATGGCATCAGTTAATTGGTTTAACAGTCTTACTTCCCAGGCTTGATTACAATCAGGGTTTGATAAGCATCACTGGAATTCCAGTGATGCTTAGGTGAGAATTGAAAGGTAAAGGCATTCATGAAATAACTGCATTTTGTGGCATTTTTCCAGTTAAATGCAGTATATTACTCTGAATAATACTACAGCTGGAATACTGGCTTAAATTTTGTCTCCTCAAATACAAGCCATGACAGTGAAAACTGATGTGCCATCCTACATGTACTGCAAAGTATCTTAAACAGTAGGTGTTGTAGAAAACAGTTTCTTACAATCTGATCCAAGTATTAGCCTATAAAGAAAGATGCTGCTTCACCAAGCCATCTATTGAAAAGCAACCTCCTTGAAGGAACTGCCTTTTTATTTTTTTTGGTAGTACTAGTAGCCCTGTACAGATAAGTATGTAGACCCACACTTTTCTAACAATCAACTTTAATTCTGCAGTATACTTTTATATATCCAATAGCACCTTCTAGCTTTCTGGGCTTTTCAGGAGGTGCATGTTTAAAACAGTGATCTTACATAACAGGCATAAGATCAAGTAGCCTTTTACATTTAAAAAAAAAATCCAAGTCAATGTTCAATCACAAACTATTACAAAATAAATTCTACTTCCTATTTAGTTTTATAAGATCACACTGAGCTCACCAGTCCCAATTGCACTGCAGTAGCTACTAAGCTCCTTATGGATACATGCAATGTGAATACTGCTGGCCATGGTGATTATCTTTTTGCCTCTTCATAGATTATCTGCTCTTTTGTGGGGATATGTTACAGGTTTTGTGACATGTTTATAATCCAAATGTTGGATTTTTCTTCCCTGATTCATTCTTTAGGAAAAAACCTTTTAGTTTTTCCATAAGAGGCATGGAGTCAGCATATTTCAATGTAAATGTTTTAAAATAGGTTCAGGCCTTAACATGCATCAAATTCTGATTTCACTTTAATCAGTGGTAGTGATTCATGTGGAACATAGTTTTGACTGTTCATGGATCCCACTTTGACTTGTCAGTGAACAGAGTATGCATAACTTACAAAGTTGCTTAATGAGATTATGGTGACTACATTGTTTACTGTTCCTCTTCTGTGCAGGAGTCAGGACCCTGCTGTTTAGCTTGTAAGCAAAAATCCCTAAGGTCTTTTGGGATCTGCATTATTCAAAATACAACCTTTCCTTCTGTTATCGTGCTGATGGTGATGCCTGGAGGAAACCAGAGAATTATGATTTGAATAAATGGGTAAATAGTGTCCTGACCAGAGGGGGGAATATGCTTGGGGAGGGGAGGGGGGAGAACCTTGAAAAAAGGCTAGGTAAGGTCATCTGGCTCAGTTCAGCTTACATAAAATAACTACATAATTAAAACTCTTTCATAACTCCTGCCCTAAGCAGCATATGGGGTTTGTGCCATTCTTCAAAGCAGTGCTTTCTAATAGCACCTCTGATGTGATTAAGATTAGTTGCATGATATGCTAATGTATTACAATGCTTTAAACATAAAAAACTTTACTAAGAATCAGGATATTGATTTAAATATTTAAATCCAATAAACCCAGATTTTTTCATTTGTATTTAAATTATGTTTAGAGGTGGATTCTCATTGTGAGCATTAGAACATACCGATTTTAAACTAAATAAAGCCTTTACACTAGATTTGGCACCTATTTTTGCTTTCTGGGAGGGAACACTACATTTAAGCAATTATAGTTTAATATTTTTTGAATTGTTATGTATGTTTTTTCATTGTTAGAAAATGATGAATGATACATTGATTGTTTACTACAAGTTGAACTTCTCTGATCCAGCAACCTCTGTCCAGAGAGTCCCAGCTGATGGGAGTGAGAGCTGGGAGCAAAGCTGGGAAGGGAGTCCAGTGGCCCACATTGGCAGCAGAGCAAGGTAGTGACCTGGGGTCAGTGCAGATAAGGTCAGCAGAGCCCAGCAGCCACAAGGAGAGCCCAGCCAAATTGGCCTGTAAATACCTCTGAAGTTCAGCAGAAGGGCTGGAATTGACCTTTCCTGGCCTGGTGAACTGTGCTGGACCAAGCAGGTCCAATCTGTAATAAAATTTTGTTCATGATTTGTAAGTAAAATTAACTAAAAATAACTGCTTAAAATGTATTTTTATTGAATAAAAGCCTTTAATAAACCAATGTAAGTGATGCACTACACCAACATATTAATATACTAGTGCTTATGTTAATGTAGTTATGGTGATACAGTGCCTGCGTGGAGTCTGCTACTTAAATTACTTGTTGACTAAGCATCAGATGGGGCTGATAGCTATCAGCCAGATGTTAGGCTCACAGTTGAGATCTGCCCCTACCCTTCCCCTACCAAATTCTCAGGCACTGGGCTGATAGCTGGGTAGAACAGCAGTTGTGAGCCCCATGCTTACAGCTGAGGCTATCAGATTTCTAATGTCACTGTCCCACAATATTTCAGTCTGAGGAAGTGCTCCTGATGAGGACGTGCATCATGGACAGAAGGAACAAGAGTATATGAGAACCACTGCTTTAATTATTAAAATGACTATATGTCAATTCTGTAGTGTCCACAAGTAATTTAGGCAAATGCTAGTGATAATGGTGATGTCATCTGAGCTTCTGCTTTCTGGCCTTGTGGGTAGACCATTATTCAGAATTAAGATGATGAAAGACCAGGAGTGTCCTGGTGGATTCCAGGTGGCAGCTAGCCCAGTGAACTTGCTGCTTTTGGTCCTGGCTCCTATTGAATGATTCCCCAGATAAGCAATGGCCACAAAGAGTTTGCAGGTTTATAACATTAACCAACTGAAACACATTTCAGTGATTTTTAGCTGTAATTTCAACTATGTCTACATTGGCAAGATTTTGCGCAAATACTTTTAATGCAAGATTTTTTGCGTTAACGTATTTGCGCAAGAGAGAGTCTACACTGGCATGTGCTTTTGTGCAAAAGCATCTGTGCCAATGTAGATGCTCTCTTGCGCAAGAAAGCGCTGATGGCCATTTTAGCCATCAGGCTTTCTTGTGCAAGAAATTTATGTTGCCTGTCTACACTGGCCTCCTGCGCAAGAACAGTTGCGCAAGAGGGCTTTTTCCTGAGCGGGACCATCATAGTTCTTGTGCAAGAAGCACTGATTTCACACATTAGAACGTCAGCGTTCTTGCGCAAGAACTCCCCGCCGGTGTAGACAGGTAGCACGTTTTTGTGCAAAAGCAATTGCTTTTGTGCAAAATCATGCCAATGTAGACACAGCCTTCTTATTTGTAGAATCAACTGTCATCTCAACATACATCTTCACTAGAAACCTTGAAAAATACTTATAGTTTAACTTAATCCAGTTGGACTAGTCTATTTGCCTTCACCTTTTGCAGACTTTCATGAACAATTTTATAGAATAGTCTGAACTGGACTTTTGTTAGGTTGATCAATTTAGGAGTACAGGACTGCACAAATGGGCCCAACTCTGGTCCTTATCAGGTAAAAGCTCCATCTGGGCCTAACCAACAGTTGTTTTTGTCTCAGTAAGGATCTCAAAATGGAACTCATAGTTACCATAAAACTGATTTTTGGTTGCCTGCGTGCAATCCATGTCTTCCCTCACCCAACTGATTCTCCATTCTGGTCTCCTTTCTCCGGCTTCTCATCCAATTTCAGTTTCCCTGCTCCCTGGCTCCTTGTTCCAGAAGACTCAACTGAACATGTTGTGCAAACACATTTTTCAATTGCTTTTTACTTGGGTGAATTTCCCAAGGCAGCAAAAAACACATCTGACATGAAGGCCACGGTGTATAAACTTCCTGTTCCATTCCTGTTACATGTCAACTTCCTGTTTCAAATTATGGTTGTGCTAGCTGCGCTTCTCAAAGGTTCAGTGGCTGCTTTTTTATTGGGGGAGGCAACATTGAAAACTCTATTTTTCCTGTCTTTTTAGAACTAGTTAAACTGTTCTGACTGAAATTATGTATCAAATCCAGCAGCAGACACCCAGTGTGGAAAATTTCAACCTGAATGCTCAAAGTCGGGCAAATTTACAAGCAACTGCAAACAGGATCTTATAATGGGATGAATCAGGCAATCTTAACAATAGAGAGCACTACCAGCAGGACTTAACGTTTATCTAAGAATAGTTTTAACCTTGTTCCCCCCCCCCCATCCTAACAGATAATAAATACATTAAGCTAGAGATGAACCTAAGTAGCAACATTTAGGTCATAAATTTCAAAGTGCAGTTTAGCCCTTTATAGGATGAAACTCAGGGTCAGCTCTGGAGTTCTGATGGGACCACCTCTCTCTTTTAGGTACAACATGGTAGATACACTCAGAAGATACCTTCAGGCCATGCTCCAAGATCTATTTATGTAGGTTTTTTTTGCTGAGTGCATAGTTAAGTGAATATTAGAGTACTTCAGCTTTATTTCAGTGTGTTCTTTGTGTCAAACCAGTGGGTGAAATGTATTAATTTATTTTAAAACATTGTACAATCTTGCACATATCCTGCACCTTACACATGGAGAAATACAATAGTAAAAAGCTTCCATGGGAAATTATGTTTGTCTCTACCTTGGCTAATTTTCTATCTTTGTCTCATGCTGCTTGTGGGACTAGCTGCTGTGGTAGATCCCCCCACCCCTTGCCAACCCTTATGAACCTAGCTAAGTAAGTAGTTCAGAGATTTGCTGTCCATAATGGGAAATCTATGTGCTTATGGTTAAGCATGTGTGTTTGCATAATTGATAATACTCTCCTTACCTTTACTTACTCTTTGTTACGCTATTAAGACCCTGATTGTAAATGTAAGGCCTGATACTAGAGATATAATGATTTTTAAAATTATTTTAAAAAACCAACAAAACCAGTAGTATGAATGTCAGTGCTACAGCAAGCGGCTGGCTTGACAGCTGTGAGATCAAAAGCCTTTCTTTGTTTACAGAAACAATTTAGGATACCGGAAGGACAGCATTAGAGCAAGCTCATCAAGTCTGCCTTGTTAGTGGGCCTTAGCTATGCTTCTAGTGCTGGCACGAGAATTTTGTGTGTCTATTTGCTTCTTGGTCGCTCTGCTGAGCGTGGGTGCAAATTAGTGCCGGTGAAATGACCCACACACCTGCCTGTTCTCTACCAGCACTCGCTCAAAGCGAAAGCCACCCCTCGTTCCCAGCCCAAGTGCCTTAGACAACAAGACATTGCAGATCCTCACGCATCTTGTCGGAGGGGAAGACTGGGAAAAACAACCCGGGATCACCTTTGTCCTGCTGGGATCTGGGATAAAGAGAGATGGGTAGGGGCAGGGATGGAGGAAAGCGCTGCAGAAGTTGCGAGGGGGGAGGGCACTGGAGAGAAGCTCCCTAGAATCCGCGTGGCGTGGAAGGAAGCACCTCCCAGCCGTTGCAGCCGGGTCTCCAGCTGCAGGAGCTGAGGGCGGGCCCTCCTAGCT